GTGTCTGAGGGATTTGAGAAGCTGTTGCACTTCATGGTATATCTTTACCCACAAAGTAAACCAGAGGTGTAGATATAGGAGGATGTGCTTTCAGGGATCAGAGGTTTTAGGAAATAAATCTTAAATCTTGCATCCTTTTGCTCAAACCAGTTATATTTGGTGATACTTTCTAATGGTGTCAGGCTGCAGAGGGTACCATTTATCACCACTGGAGTGTTGTTTGGCTTGAACTGTGGCTGAGGTAACAATTTTTCCCGTCTTCTCCAATCATCTCCTCCCAGCTCTGTTAATCTGAATCTTGATACTGTTTTTGCAAAGATGCCTTAAATGCTTTACTGTAACTTTTTGAGGTACCATATTTGGCATATCCTTCAGAGCTGGTCTAGAAGCAACTCTGAGTTGGTGACTTTATCTTCTGTCATATACCATCATCTGTAACATCCTGATTCTTACCTGAGACATCAGAAGCTGTCTTAATCTAGAGGCAATCCTTGATTTAACATCAGTGATTCATCTGGTGTAGAATAATATTCATGGCTGGCTCTTTGCAGTGCAGCTGTCCTGTAGAACTGTGAATATGGCAATAGCTTCCAGACCAGCTTGTGCTGGAAAGCCATGCAGCTGCTTTAATACAATGTTAAACTGAAGCTAGTGAACTTGTGGACAATTTGGGGTATTTATAGCAGTTTGGGTGTGATCATGCTGTACTAGGGAGAAGGGTGAGAGACGAGGGGAATCTGGCATGTCTGAGTCTGAGCCAGAGCCAGTGAGTGTGACTGATCTGACTTGTGGAGAGCTGCTCAGATGTCTTTGTTACTATCCAGTGCCTCTAATTCAGAGATAGTTTATAAGCTTGTGTTAATACTAGACCTGAACTTGTGTTTTGTTCTTGTACTCTTAGGCAAATAAACTCTAAATGTGAAGCATGGGAAGCAGCCATGAAACTTGTACAGGAGCTATGCTGTGTAAGAGCTAACTCGGAACAGCCAGCCTTACTTCTATTTCACCAGTAGATAGGCTGGAATTGTTAATTTTGTAATGAAAACTTGTCTTAATGTGTGGTGGCTTTGTACCTTTACGTTTGAGACATCCTCCTCAATTGCTGGGGATAAAATGTATAAATAATGATACTAACTTAGTGGCTGACTTCTTTTTGAGTGTTTCTGTAACTATGAAATATTTCAAAGTAAACATTTGATCATCAGTTTCCAATTTCATGTAAAAAGGAGATAACCTAATAGTTTGAGGGAAGTCCAGTACCTGTTCAAAGTAAATCTGTTTTCCTCTGAAAGGATTCATTCAATATCATAAATGGATTTGTTTTATGGAATAATCAACTGAAATGTTCCAAAGCTTTTTAGCTTTATGTGAGAGCAAAAAGGCTTTGGGACTGTACTGTAAGCCATTTTTTAGTAACCTTCAATGTTTGTTGTGTTTTTAAGCTACATCTAGAGGTACTGTGCTTGCAAATCAGCAGAATTTGACTTGTAGCACAGGTTTCTTATGCTTCAGACTTGTCAGATCTAATATTTGGAGCCTCAATGCACAGGAGAGAATAGTTCAGTGGATCTCAGGATACAGCTAATACATTTTAATGTTCATTAAATGTGTTGTCTTGAACATGTCATCTATGCAGCTACTCCCATATTGTCTAGCTTCAGCACTAGGGATTTTTTGTTTTGGGTTAACAACTTTTGGTGATACTAAAGTTCTGTAGGTCAAGTTTTAGATATACACAACAATAAACTATTTGGCATTAATTGGAATAATACAGCTGGAGTAAACAAATGTGCTTTGGAACAGCCAAGTTCTCTGAGCACGGAAGCCTTTTAGATTCTTTGATTACATATAGAGTGGCTTTTACTTCTGTTGCAGGTATGGACTTCCATTTGTTAGATTTGTAGTTTGTATTTTAATTGTCAGGTAGTTGTTTGTTCCAGTTAGGAAATGATATTCAGAGCTATGCATTGCATAGTTAAATACATGCTTGCCTACTCCTAAATTACAGCCAAAAATTGTGTAAAATTTAATCTGAATATTTTAACTGAGATTACTGCTAGAAATTTAGACTATCAGATTGCAGGTACTAAATATTCTGAAATAATTTCAGCATACTTTACTGTAAATGGAAAATCTCTTATTTTAACTCTATGCAGTGTTTACTTTTCCTACTAACTTACAAGGCTATTTAGAGTAAAAATAAGTGATCTTAAGTAATGCTTGAAAAATTGATGTGGTATTCCACTGTATGAAAGCTTTCATTTCAGCTTAACTGTGAGCTCCATGTTCATAAGTCATCATCCTTTATTTGGGAAAAATGTGACAAGGAGAGTTACTAACTTCTGGAAGTTCAGAATTGTTATGAATTGTTTCAATTTGTTTGATTTCCTTGCAGTTAAACCTCCAGAAATAATGAAATCAGAAGTCCAAGGTGGAAGGGGCCTCTAGAGAACATCTGGGCCAACCTTCTGTTGAAATCAGGACTGTAAATTAGATTATACAGGGCCTTGTCAGTGGCCCTCAGTCCTGAATATTCTTAGCAAGGGAGATCTCTACTGTTTTCCTGGGCAGCCTATTTCTGATTAATGTTTTTCTTGACTGCATCTTAGGACCTATAAGAAAAAAACAATGGAAGATATCTAATAAACCTAAAGAAACTGCCTGAGTATTCCTTGAGATTTGACCTGATAATTTCAGAAAAGACTGCTTCATGCAAGGCCTCAAATTTAATAGCTTCTGTGGACTGCAGTCATCCATAAGCCATTTGCTTAATTGTATTTTGGTTGTAACTCAGGTCTGCATTGTGGATTGAACTTGCAGATACTATGGGGAATAAAATTATACTTTCATATTTAGTAGGTTTAAATGCTTGCATGTCTTTTTGTCCAAAGCTGAAGTAGGTGAACTGGAGCTGTAGACTTTCTGCATTGTTGAGTGACTGCAGCTGGGCCTTTCTTCCATCAACACTTCCAGTGTAGCAGCAAAGGATTTTAAGCTGTTACTACCCTATTGTCAAGTGTTTTCAAATTTTTCCAGAGGAATAGGGAGATCAAAGAAACTTATCTTGGCCCCTTAGTGGCACAGTAGTAGAGGAATGGTCAAAACTTACAAACTGTTTCATAAATTAGAGGCCACAACAAGTAGTTTAAGCCTGTTTTCTCTTCATCATCACTATATTTTACTTGTGCCTAAAACTATCTTTTTGTTAACATGACTGTGTTACTTTAGATTCCAACAGTGTGAATATCCTGGTTTTACAAAGTTTCATTGGAAATAGTAAATATTCCTGAACAGTAGTTTGTTGATAAATAAGCTCTATTGCAGTATTTTGACAGGAATTGTGGTGAGTTGACTTATGCTGGCTGCCGGGTACCCACCAGGTTGTTCTCTCTCTCCCCCTCCTCAACAGGATGAGGAGAGAAAGTAGGATGAAAAGCTTGTGGGTTGAGATAAGGTCAGCAAGATCACTCACCAATTAGTCGTGGGTAAGACAGACTCTACTTGAGGAAGATTAATTTATTTCCAGGTAATCATAACTGAAGGATAGCAAGAAATTAAAACTAAACCCACCTTTCCTACATTCCCCACTTCTTTCTGGGCTCAGCTTCACTCCTGACTAATCTACCTCCTTCCCCCAAGTGGCACGGGGGAATAGGCAATGGAGGTTGTGATCCGCTCATAATACTTTGTCTCTGTTGCTCCTTCCTCCTCATGCTCTTTGTGAGTCCTTCCCACAGGCCACAGTTCTTCACAAACTGCTCCAATGTGGGTCCCTTCCTGAAGGACTATACCCTGTGGAAGAGACCGCTCTGGTGTGGGTCCCCCATGGGGTCACAGGTCCTGCCAGAAAATCTGCTTCTGCGTGGACTTCTTTCTACAGGCCACAGCTCCTGCCAGGAGCCTATTCCAGTGTGGGCTTTCCATGGGCTGCAGCTCCCTTCAGGGCACATCTGCCTACTCTGGAATGGGGCCCTCGATGAGCTGCAGGTGGATATCTGCTCCACTGTGGCCCTTCATGGGCTCCCAGGGCACAATCATTTTTTATGTACCTTCCAAAATACAGCGCAATTAAATATGAAAGTAGACTGCTGAATATACACAGCTTTTCTCCTGATGTGTGTGTGACTGGAAATACATGCCTTATGGAGCAGTGCTCGTGAGAACTTCCACATCTCCTGACTCTGTAGAGTGTCCTTGAAATGACAACAGGGAGATTCTGCCTTTTTGTTTTCCTTTGTTATGAATTGATTTTTGGATGTGTTTCTTTAGCCTGCTTTCCCTCTGAAGCACCTTCTGGGCTGAAAGAGCACCAGCTATGTGTTTCAGTGTTTTCCGTGAATGGAAATGGTTGGATTTTCCTTGTCTTTATTTTTGTGGCTCACAGCTTTCTTCTCCCTAGTTATCTTAATAGTGTAATGCTGTGGTTATGAACCCCAGCTGGCTTTGTGAACTTCAGTGATAATGGGGGCTGAGTGGCAGTTGAGATCTTAAGTGTTCATTCTGTTTCAGAACTGAATTTATATGCTTATGTTCTCTGGATTTAATTCCTTGTTTCTGTGTTTTAGTGTAGGGTTTATTGTATGGGTTACTTCATAAATCTTCAAGGGAGGATAAGACAATTAAGATATTTTTCTTCAGAGCTTTGGTTTGTATCTTATCAGTGGGATTGCTGCTAGCTTTGTTTTTATAGTTGTGTACCTGGTAATTGTTGAAAAACTGAATTGCAGTTTGAGCACATCTGTTCTCAGTGTTGAGTGGGATAAAGACAGTTCTCTTTATACGATTTGATTTTTTGAGTTAGATACTCTTGTGTTTCTGTTGAAACCTGGTGGAGCCACTGACATGCTGTTAGCTGTCCTACACAATTGTACTTGACTGTAATTTATGATCTAATACTTGTTTCCATGTAGAACAAAGTTGTTTCTGCAAAATATTCTATTATGCTTGTTCATTTATGCTTAAAAATCCAGTGAGCTTAATGGTTTTTTGTTTTCTTATAGTTCAACTTTGTGGGAAAACTTTTGGGTCCACGTGGCAATTCTCTAAAGCGTTTACAGGAAGAAACACTGACAAAAATGTCTATTTTGGGAAAAGGTTCTATGAGAGACAAGACAAAGGTAAGACCTGAGTATGTTAGTGGAGTGTTTGATACTTGAATTTTGTAACTTGCCTAAAATTTCTGGGGAGGTGAATAAACCTGTGACAAAAATTGGGGCAATCAAAAAGCATAGGATATCCTCATATTGGTTAGATTCAGATGAAGTCTGTTTTCTGAGTCTGCTCTTGCTAAGTACTCTGAGGCTACCATGAGTTGTACATAGGCCACCTCAGGCTATGGTCCTTGTGGGGGATAGGTGGGGCATTATTGGTGGCATGTTCTAGATGGATCTTACACAGCTTATAATGAGTAATCAAAGAATTGTAGAATGGTTTGGGTTGTAGGGGACCCTAAAGATCATCCAGTTCCAACCCCCCTGCCATGGGCAGGGACACCTTCCACCAGACCAGGTTGCTCCAAGCCCCATCCAGCCTGGCCTTGAACACTGCCAGGGAGGGGGCAGCCACAGCTTCTCTGAGCAACCTGTGCCAGTGCCTCACCACCCTCACAGTAAAGAACTTCTTCCTTACATCTAATCTAAATCTCTCCTCTTTCAGTTTGAAACTGTTACCCCTCATCCTATCACTACCCTCCCTGATAAAGTCCCTCCCCACCTTTCCTGTTGCTCCCTTTAAATACTGGAACTTTATGTACTGGCTGCTACAAGCTCTCCCCAGAGCCTTCTCTTCTCCAGGCTGAACAACCCCAACTCTCTCAGCCTGTGCTCACAGGGGAGGTGCTCCAGCCCCCTGAGCATCTTTGTGGCCCAAGTGAATGTGACAATATTCTCACTTTTGAAGGAACTTGAGTTCTAGATAATCCAAACATTTTTACATAAAATAACACCTTTTTAATAACATTAAATGACATTTCTAGACAAAGAGAAAAGCTGCTAATGAAAGGAGATAGAATATAACCAGAAAAAAATCATGGCTCTGAGGATGACTTCTGCAGCTTAAGCAATTGACAAATTGCAATTGTTTCTATGGGAAGTATTTGGTTGTAGTGGATGTATCTGTTACAAGAGCCAAAGTAGATGGCAGAAGAGAAACCTTTACCTTGATAGGTGTTTGTACTAATCAGTTTTACTCTTTAATGAAATAAATCTGTGGCTAAATTTGTAGCAGGCAAGTGTGTCTCAGTTAAGGGATAGGTTGTCTGTCTGGTAGGCTTAATTTTTTAAGTGGAGCATTCCTAATGATGCAAATTAAAACACTGAACATATTTCTTGCCTGTAGCATACCATGTTTTATAGGCTGCCAGCAAAATCTTTTTGTGGTTACATAATCTGAAACTTAAAAATACTGTGCGCTATAAAGACTTATTATGACATGCATATAGAAGAGTGACATAGAGGGCTGGCTACTGAATTTCTTAAACTGTGTGTTTTTTAGCACATTTCTCCATCAATGAAATACAAATGTTATGTGATTTCTAGAGTATTTATGTATTGTACTTGATCAGCACCCATAAACTACTTTGTTCCATGTGACTTAAAAGCTGACTTTTTATTTTTTCTTGAAAATATTTTATCAAATATAACCTAAATAACTATAATTTGTGTTTATACAAATACATTTTCCTATAATAAAGGCTTGAAGATAAGTGGGATTTTTTGAATGGAAGCTGTTATGTAATACATAATACAGATAATGCAAGTTTCAATGTTTCACGGTTAGCTATGAAAAACTACATTGCTAGTAACTTTAAGAGGGAATATGACTGTTCAACTAAAATAAGAATATAAATTTACACTAAGCCAGGATGATGAAGTCTCCAAATTCTGTTTTAAATGACATTTGATGAACTTTCTCAGTTCTTGTGTAATAGAGATTCTGTATGTGGAGAACTTAACCAAACATGAGAATTAAAATATTTTTTCTAGTGTCTTGTAGATTATCTATGTACTATTTCTACCATATTTCTTTCACTAGCAGGTAATTTACTTTTTGCCTTGATCTTCTTGTTCAATCTTCATGCATTCTTGGTTACCATTTTGGAACTATTGTATAATGTTGTCCAGAGAACTAGCAAATAAGAGAACCTTAGTTATATGTTTTTTTCCGTATGAGCAAGAAGTGATCTTTGCTGAAGAGAAGCACAAAATTGAATTACTTGGTGCATACAAGCTGCTGCTCAGAAAAGCTGGCAAATTCTTGCATGTGACCAGTTTTTGTGTTACTTGGAAAATCTAGTTGAGACTTCAGTGTGGTTTAGTGACAAATAATGAAGTACATCGGTCTTGGAACAATAGAATAGTTTGGGTTGAGAAGGACCTTTAAAGGTCATCTAGTCCATCCCCCCCCTGAACTAAGCAGGGATATCTTCAACTAGATCAGGTTGCTCAGAGCCCTGTCCAACCTGACCTTGAACATTTCCAGGGCTGGGGCATCTACAAGCTCTCTGGGCAACCTGTTGTGTTTTACCACCCTCGCTGTAAAAGGTTTCTTCCTTACATAGCCTAAGTCTACTCTTCTTTAGTTTAAAACCATCGCCACTTTCCTATTGTGACAAGCCTTACTCTTGCTCTGATATATTTCAAATATGGAGAGAAGCCTCAGTTGCTCCTACATGAGATTAATAGGTCAATAGTGTGCATTACTTTTACTACTTGCAAGTAATTGAGGTATCAAAACAAGCAATTTCATTGCTGCCTGGACAGTGCTTAAAGCACTGGTCTAAAGATAAATGGTGAACCAGGGTGGTGAGTGAGCCTAGAGACCCACAGAGGGGATAACTGCCTTTCCATTGTACCTGGGCCTCCAAACATTCCTTATGTACTGCATAGTTGCTTCTCCCTGTTTTCTAGCGGGCTATCTGATCAAACAAAATCCACAAGTTTCTAGCCTGCTATTGTGCATCTTGTAGGACAGGAGGAATTGATTAAAAAGTGTAATTGCCATCATGTAGGACTTTCTTCCAATTCTTCTTGACTTCTTGATTTATCTAGGGTTCAGATGAAAGTGAAATCTCCTGAACAATATTGTATTCTGAACAGGAAATGGGAACGAACCTTGTTTTCAGAAGCGCACGGGTGATTGAAGACAATGTTCAATCGCATGGACTTAACTTAAAAAAAACATTAAAAATTTTCTAGGAAAAAACGTAGTATTTTCCATTTTGAAGTACTATTGTGGTTAGAATTTTTGTAGCGAAATATTTGGAATTACATTATCACAGATTAAAAAAACTTCAGATAATGTGAATTAGTACTCTTGCACTGAAGCCAAATTTGCAGCACAAAACAGCTGAGGATCTGATCTATTGTTGCTAACAAGTTCATTGCAGTATCTTTGCTGTCACTAGAAGTCACACAGCATATGCTGCATGGCTACTTAGTGATGGTGATCGCAGATTCTGGAATAAACCAACTGTTGGAGGCTCTGGATCGATAGAAACCTGTCAGATATTTCTAAATAGATGTTAGCATACCTGCTACATTAAGAGTTTCAAATGAATAATAATTGTCTCTTTCCTGACAAAAAGTGACAGTAAGATTCATAGACTTCTCTGAGCTACATTTCTAAATACTTATTTTTTGGTTTTTGAACTTTAAGAGAACTTCAAAGGCCTGTGGAAGAAAGCTAATTGATGTGAAAGGTTGAGAAAATGTAGCAAAG